ATACTCACATATATAACAAAATACCTCTTATTACACCACTGCATATCATTTAAAGTGTTGACTTCCTTAGCCTACAAACCTCACTTGTCTCACATCAAGTTCTGTTCATAAGGAGCCTTTAGCCTGCCTAGTACATCTGAGAGCCCATTTCCCCTTAGAAAATGAGTGGAAAGCAGGTGCCCATCCTTCCACTAAGCATATTGACAAGTGGAAAATGAGATTTAGGTAATCTCTGGTAAGATGGTGGTGGCTCACTCCATGCCAATGATGGCCCTGCCTGGGCAGAATTCTTCCCAACTCACCCCAAGAGCTTGGTGCTTAAGATTGCACCTGATTCTCAACATCCTGTGAATAAATAAAAGGAGCTGTAAGCTGATGTTGTCGCGCAATGTGAAAGCACACAATAGTAATCACAGCTAATGACTCTGCTAAATGCTAGGCTGCACACACCTCCTTGTTTGGTGTTTGTTTTGTATACAGAAGGTAACATCGGCTGAATAACGAGGATGCCAAGTTACAGATGGGGTTGTGGAATCATATTTGACAGCCGATTAGAGTAATCTGACAGAAATGATGACTTAATCACCACGACAGACTCCAAATTCCCAGATAGAATTCCACCCAGGTTAATCTAATTTCCTTGCAATATTTTTGCCAGAAATAGACTCTTAGCTGGCTTGTTTTCTCCCATGCAGATGTCACATGATTTTGACAAGAATGCAAATGGATAGCATTATTGTTGTTGAAAAGATGATGGTGAGGCTCTAAAGCTGGAGAGGATCTATGTCTTCGTGTGGTTTTTGATTTGCTCTATTGTGATTTTTTTTCTCTGATTAAGTTACATTTACATACAGTGACATCTATTCAGGAAGAGGTGGAAAAAAAAAAAGATAAAAAGTCCTCAGTTGTAGTTGTAGGCCATGGCTTGGTTCAACTGCTATACTGGACATGGCCACTCGGTGGATTTCAAGTTTTCCTTTGATCAGGATTCCATGTTTTACAATTTTTTCTTTCCCTTTCCGATTTTGGTTACCCTGTGAACCACACCAACACGCCAGTTTGGGGTGAGCCCAAGCAGGAGTGGTGACATGCATGACCTTGGGCTTCGCGTGACCTCCATTACTGCACCAGCCTCCCATGGAGCATCTCACTGCTGGTGCTGCATCAAGGCACTGCCAGGCTTGGCCAAGGCATCTGCCCACTCTGTTGTGAAACAGGGCTGAGGAAAGCTGAGCTGTGCTGTTACTGACTGTTCAACTGCATCCAGTAGAGCTCTCTAACATATTGCCAAGGAGGAATTATTCCTTACAGCCTGTTCTCCAGTTGGGTTGCGTTAGCCCCTTGCCCAGTGCTTTCTAGGAAAGCTGGCCACTCTCGGAAAGAGCTTGCCTGAGAGCTGTGCTTTTCTCTTCCATTGTAGGGTCTGAGTGCTGGATGATATTAACATCTATTTGCTGCAGTTAGTTTTCTCACTTTTCCCTATTTATTAACTGCAAATATGTATTCTCACATACTGTATTTTTATAAGCAAAGCTTTCTTCAAGCATAGAAATAAACACTTCCTGTTTTGTTGTTTTTTGGAATTTTTTTGTATGAAAACATGATACAGTGAGAAATCACTTACCTTGAGATCCATAAGTGTACAGCTTTGTGATGTATAGCTACAATAACAGCTTTCTGATAAGACGTGAAATCCTTCATTTTAGTAGATGACATGATTCTAGTGGGTGGCATCTAATTTGAAACAGGTTTATATCATCTATAATCTTTTGGAGGGGCTGAGAAAGCACAGCTATTTTATTATTTTATAGCCTACAGTTATACAAGCAAGATATAAAACACACGGATTATTTTCAGTGTTGCTCATTGTAGAGTGATAGTACCCTTTTAGCCTTTGTTTCTGCCCCTTTAATTTTCTTACTCACTGCACACCTTGCAATTCCCTTCCCTTCCCTTCCCTTCCCTTCCCTTCCCTTCCCTTCCCTTTTCCCTTTTCCTTTTTCCCTTTTCCCTTTTCCCTGCCCTGCCCCTTTTCTCCTTTTATCTTCTCCTCTTCTTTTTTATTTTTCTCTCTTTTCCTTTTTCTTTTCTCTACACCTACGTTTAAATATTTTACGGGTAGAGTGCTTATAATATGTATTGTCACGGCACTTGTCTCTAGAGGTCAGCAATGAGTTCAATAATGAGATGCGAACCAATGACTCTGTAAAACCCATTTCAGGTTATAAATGGCATGTTTTATTGAATCTAGTGTTAAAGGTTGTTAATGTATCAATTGGTGATGGTCAGGGTTAAACAAGCTTCAACATGAGCCCTCTCATGTTATCAAACTGTCAGTAACATATTTTTCCACCTTCTTTACTGAAGCCATGTTTGTGTATCACATCCATTTTACCATGGGTATTCTGCGGCTTAAACCCTTCAGGCCTGATCTGAATCTTTTATTAGTTTTGCACTGATAAAATACTGTTAAGCACAGTGGCATTCCTTCTGACATAGGCTTACTGGTGAGACTTTGGACCATGGGTTTTCAGCAGGAACCTCTGAAATCAAGTCAACGCCCAGTTGAAACATCTTGTTAAATCTTACTTCTTTCTTTGCAAACATAACAGCTTACTGATTTAATGAACTTGAAGTAATTATGCAAAACAGAAGAGGATAATTTCTGATGTGGTAACTGTGTTTGCCAGGTAACACTTATCTTTCCATAATAACCATGGTACTGTGGAAATAACCTGTGTACATGAATTTGGTCCAAAGACCTCCAGTTCAGGTGGTTTGAAAAGTGAAGGATTTTTAGCATTGTTAAAATTGCATTTATTCGAAGTATATCTACTTAGGGGCATAAAATGCAGGTATGCAGAGAGATAGATTCTATGTAAGGATGTGGATGGATTCTTTTTCTGTAGCTTTCGTATTCCCAAATTTACAGTGAATTAGGAAGTGATGTTTCTGGTAGTTGATGGAAATTAACCTACATCCTTCTGGGCCTCTAGTATCGGGAGGCATATCTGACTACCTCATCTTTAATTTATTTGCTGCGCTTAATTGCATCTTCTTATATGCATCTGAACAACTCCATTTTATTTCCTTGATTTCTTCAACTTTATGTGGTTCTGCAGGAACATACGAGCAATGGGTGCACTGCAGCAAGTGGCACCTTTTTTCCTTTCAGCTTTTGTTTTCTCAGTGGACATAGTGCATCACATTCCATGAATTTAAGGTCTCCTGCAGTTCTCAGCATATTGCTGATGCCAGGATAAATGTTAAGCACTAGTTAAAGATAGAGTACAATCTAAGTTCCCTTTTTTCTTTAAGTTAGATCAAATAAGACTGGTGGCAGACAAGTGAAGGGCTATTTAAGTCCGTTTGGGAAACAAACGATTCAAGGAGAGCAGAGCTGTTAAAATTGAAGCAAATTTATGCATCCTGGTGACTACATCAACCTTGTGGCTTTGCCTTTTCCTTAGGGAACAATAGGGAGTTTTGCAAGCAGCACAAGGAATATGTTGATTTGTAGGGGCAGAGAGCATTATGGATTTTGAATAAATCTTATGGAGATATTCATAGCAATATTTTATGTTTACTAAAGAATCCAGCAACTATGTCCCTGGAGGTTAAGTGACTCCACCAAAAGCAATGCAGATGTGTTTTTCTGTGGTGCTTTGAAAGTGCATTTGATATGAGAGCATAGATGTTCATGCTCAGCTGTTTTTGTTTTCCAACATCAAGTGTGTCATAATATTCTTTTATAAAAAATATGGAATCGTCACTGACATTTTCAGGCAATGCTCAGCTTTACTGTGCTGAAGGATGTTACAAAAGCAGAAGGAGCATAGATTTTTTTACATGCTTAGGTGAAATGGAGAAGAGTTTCTGAAGAGTGAAAAGACAGCATTCCCAATACTTCCTTAAGGTTTGTGCAGTCCTGTAGAGTCTGTGGAAGAAAGAGTTGGGTTTTTTCCAAGCCTAACCATCTCCCACATTGGAACACAATGCAGCATCCATTCTAATGGTATTTGAGAGGCTATAACAAAATTTCCCTGAGTCCATCACACTGGACACATGCAGTATCCAGTAGAAATAGCCCTCTAATCAGAGAGGACTTTGTTGTTGTTGTGTTGATGTCATTGAAAATGCTATTGGAGTCTATATATAAAAGTCTATTGGAGTTGCCAACAATTGAAGGTGGGGAGAATCATCACTTAGCAATGAGAGCAAAACAAACACCACATGAAGTGTGTGAAGGTAGGATGTCATGTGATGTACAGAACAGCACACTACGCACAGGAATTGATTTCATTTACAGTACAAAGGATACAAATGGAGGAAAAGATTGAAAAGGAAGAAGTATTAGGATTTTTTATGGTTTTTATTAAGGAAGGTTTTTTATGGAAGCCAGAATTGTACTGTGTTGCACAGAAGCTTTATGAATGAATGTATAATGTACTCTATTAAAAAAAAAAAAAAAAAGATACTAAACATTTATAAGAAGCTATTTTAAGAGATACAAGTCTTCCTCTTCAGTCATGAAAGAATCTGCGTGTGTTTTTTTTTAATTACATGCAAAGTTCATTTGTCAAGATAAACTCCTCTGAGTATGTTTGAAATGCTTGCTAGCTCTTCAGTTACTTGGAAATTGCATCTCAGCCTCAGCAGTGTTTGAGCTCCAGAAAAGAAATTGGTAAAACAGAAACCAAGTATGCCATAAAGTAATGAGAGTTGTAACTTTAGAGGTCTTCTGAAACTAGATGTAACAAATTAAAGTTTTATATGAGTCCTATGGGCCCAGTGATCTATTTTTTTTAATCTTCCTCGTTATAAAATGATCCTTTACCATTTTTTTTCTTAAAAGCCTATTATATGGTGTTATTTTGAATTTATACCATTGCAATGTGTTTAATATTGACCATGTATCCTTTTAGCCCGTCATTAAAGCCATTGTTCTTGATTTTTATGACTATCCAACCTGCCTTACTCTTTTTCATTTTTGTTTTTAGATGCATCATCCTATTCAGATGAAACCTGCAGATAGTGAAAAGTCCAATGGTATGTGCTTAATTTATTTCTATGTAATTGTGGATCTCTTTTCACTAAAGAAAACAAAACATCGTGAGAGTTTTTGCTTTACTTCTTGTATGGCAAAAACTGTGTGAGGCTGTTTCTCTACATCTGGCAGATCAGGAAAGATGTTGACCTGCTCTCAACTCCGATTTATCTTCAAATTTAATGAACTACCATGCTACAAACTTCTTTCACTTGTGTTCTGGCAGTGAAGTGATCCAAAAATACCTGATATTGGTGAAATAGATATGAAATTTTAATAGTGAAAAGGAAAAAAATAAAGAAATAAAAACCATTCTAATGTTAATATAATGTAAGCAGCTGATAGACCTTAAACATTTGCTAAACCTACTTTTTATAGAATGATGCTGTTCTGAATCTGAACCAAATTTAGGTTTTAATGATATGCTTAGTTCTGAACTGGGAAACCCACCTTGCATCTCTCTGTATACTTATTCCTCTCAACGATTGTAAAATGAATGCTATAATGACAGTAATATCCATTCAGAATACTAGGTTACTGCCTAAGTGGATGTATATGACATGCAAAATAGACAGCAACTAAATCTATTAAACATGCCAGGTTTGTATTCAAGGAAATAAGATAATCGGATGGTAACGCAGCCTGACTGTGTGTGATTCTTTAAAAATATATACATGTGTATTTTTTGCCCCTTGATTTGTTCCTGTAATTTTCTAAAATGCATGTTAAAGATATCATCTGCCTTCTTAGATTGCAAGAGCTTCTTTTTCCCATAAGGCCCACATAATCAGAGCTGGTTCCTCCAACAGGCATCTTTGCACCTCATTAATTAGTAATCAGGGCAGAAGCCGTGCACTTAGAGATCTACATACCTGCAAATGTAAATTATGATTGGGCTCTAAATCTCTCTGCAAGGCTTTTTTAAGGCTTCTTTTGTGCTAATTGTAGTGCATCCCATTTTCAGACTTCTCCAAGGATTACAAAGTTCGGAAAGAAACTGAAACTTCACATGATGCTAGGTGTCCTATATGACAACTTTCAAAACAAAACTGGCCACAAACATGAGAGATTAGAGCCATCATCTGTATGCAAGGGAGTGATGTTCTCTCTCTTGACTTGTCCACAAATAGTTTTAGCAGCAATTTCTTTGAATGCTCAGAAAAGAGGCAAAGGCATCTGTGTGGACAGGAGGACCAAACTTTTCAGGCCTTACTCTATCAAGTGGGATGGTTGCTGTTGGAATCAAAATTTCATTCCATGGTATTTATTGCACTTGCATTGGGCAAAATTTTCCTTTAGGAAAAACCAAGGTCTTTATAACTTCTATGGATTCTTCTTTCAAGAACAGATTTCACCTCATGTACATTGGCAGATTAGAAATGTAAGAGCCAGTGGGTCAGAGTAAACTCAAAGGAATTACTAGATCATTCTGCATTTTTCTTCCTGAAGAAGATTGAACATATCAGCAAAGCACTGTGGGGAATTGTGCAAGTCCTGTCCTGCTCTGCAGTCCTCACAAAGCAGGGTAAATTAGCCTCCCGCTACTGCTATTAGATTGAGGTTATCTTCATGATACTCCTGTCTGCACTGTGGGAATATTATTGTCTTGCACCAATTTTTATCTCTAGCATGAAAATCATGAAGGATTGGAATTTTGTTTTTTTTTTTGTTGACTTTCTCCATACTTTAACAAAAACACATCAACAAATCAAAGACAATCATCACTGTCAAATTAAATATCTTTTTAAATTCATACTCCTGGAGGGCATATATGCTTCTGGTAGGCATTTTCTGGGGGAGATGAACTCTTCTTTTTTATTGCCTGAGGAAATAGAAGGTGAACTAACACCATGATGATGAGAAAAGCAGCAGAGCTTCTCAAAAGGACAGGGCGTAGGAGTAGGATCCATGGAGGAGGTGAGAGTTTGCATGCTTGGAGAATGTGGAGGCCTGTTTGGCATATGTTTGTCATATGCTCCAGGCTATCCATCTGAGATATATTATTTGCCAATAGCAAAGTGAAAAGGAGTACAAACCTTCGACAAGATTGGTAAGTTCAAAGAGGAAAAGAACGAAGATATGCCAAGATATCTTGGTTTTCATGATCCATAGTGTTCGAGCTAGGAATACTTGAAACACTTTGATTTCTGCATAATGGGGGATCCCACTACTTGTTATAGGTGAAGGCGTGTTTCTCATGTTTCAAAGAGATTAAATTAATTGTTTTGTCCAAATAACTTTGAGAAAGATATGCGAGAGAGGTTGAACACTTGTTGCAATTCTTCTGAGATCACACACATTTCTGAAGGGCTAGATAGATCCATTCAACTTCCACAGATGAGAAGAAGGTGGCCATCATTCAGCCTACAGAGGTTTTCAAAGAGAAGAATTTTCTGGGTGATAAGACGCCTCCTGCACATCTTGAATTTCTTGCAAAGATTGTAATGATCATCCAAGGCCAGGAGTGCTATGAGGAAATGTTCCCTCGTTCCTCACCGCTGTTCTTGTTTTTATTAGATCAATTTGTTAACCCACACCTTAGCACAAAAGGCCAAGTTTACCTTATGGAAACGGGGAGAAGAATTTAGAACAGGCATCTTCTACATGTTTACCAAGTGCCTGGGTTCTTTTGCAGTATTAAGACTTTATTAGCAACCGGAAGATATATTTTCTTCTGGATAGGTTTTCAGTGGCTGATAGATCCATGCAATCATCTCTGTTCCTTCTCTGCATTCAGGAGTGAAGGTGGAGAATGGTAGCTCATGTATCTGAGTCATCTCTGCTCATGCACATGAAGCAAAGCTTAATTGTCCCACTGAGCTTTTAGCAGGCAGAGCTGATGGAGAAAGACTTGCCTTTAGATCTAATTAGTTTGTTTACTCTGGAGGATTCTGAAAAGGCTTTCCTTGTTGAGAAAAGTGACATCTCTGAAAAATTTTCAGATGATTGAATTTGTAGTGTGTCCTGTGCTTGTCACCCATTACCTCTCATCCGCCCACCCTTGTGTCTCTTGATCCATCTACAAAGTTTCAGTTAAGGAATATCTACCAGAAAAACATGGCTTCAAGATTTCAAAGACTCCACTATTAATAGATTCATTTTAACTGATAATCATTCACAATACTTGGCTGCTTAAGAATATTTTTTATGTTTCAAAACGGAAGAAATATCTGCACTCTAATGCAGAAAAACACATTACACACGTGCTTGGCTCTTAGATGGCCATTATCATGCTACTAGTTAGCAAGTGCTTAAATGTTTCTAGGATCAGCATTTGAATGCTGTTAATACTATTGGGAACATATCCTGAGGACAGGGTAGTCTCAAATGGATCAGTGCTTCAACACTTGAGGGAAAATTACAAAATTTATCATTAAAAAAAAAAAGAAAGAAAGAAAGAAAGAAAGAAACGGAAGGCTGAGAGTTAGTTGTGTGATTGGATCATTTATTTTTATTTATTTTATTAGTGGAAACTTGAAGAAATAATTTTGAAATTCTACATGGCATGACGTTGCCGATTTGGAGGGAGTAATTAAATGCCATATGCTAGCACTAACACATAGAAAAGTTGATAATTAATGCAGGCAGCTCCAGATCCAGGTGTGACTTTGACAGATTGTGCACAAGGGTTTTTCACAGGCTTACAAGTAGGGATAAAAAGTCTGTTTTTCCCTCTTCCCTTCTGGATGAAAAAAAAATTTATATAACCATTTGCACATAATTAACTATTTCATGATTTGCTCAAAATAGACACAAGTTCTGGATGGAAAACATGCTCTTTAACTTACTGAAGCCCTCATAATGTATAATAAGGGGATTGTAGAGTCATAGAATAGAATTATGTAATACCTTGGGTTGGAAGGGACATTAAAGATCATCTAATTCCACCTCTCTGTCATGGACAGGTGTGTCTCCCACTGTATGAGGTATATAAATGATTTTTCAGGACAAAATTTTTGGTGTTTAAGGTGGAAGTTCTTGTAGTCATAGGAGAGATTTCCTATTATTATTACAGGATTTAATTCTTTTGTACCATGCAGGAAATAAGCCCTGTTCCTTTATTCTCCTGAGCTAGCACAACTGATCTAATATAAGCTGCAAACTGTGAAATCATAGAATCATAGAATCCTTAGTTGGAAGGGATTTTTAAAGGTCATCTGATCCTACTTCTCGGCAGTGAACAGGGACACCACAGCTAGATCAGGTTGCCCAGAGCCTGATCCAGCCTCGCCTTGAAAGTCTCCAGAACAGGGTATCTACCACATCTCTGAGCAACCTGTTCCAGTGTCTCACCACCCTCAATGCAGAAGACTTTTTCCTTATATTCAACCTAAATCTACCCTCTTTTAGCCTGAAGCCTCTTGTTCTGTTACCACAGACTCTGCTAAAGAGTCTGTCTCTTTCTTTCCTGTAGCTCCTCTTTAGATCCTGAAAGGCTACTCTCAGGTCACCTCGCAGCCTTCTCTTCTCCAGGCTAAACAGCCCCAGTTCTTCTACCCCCATATGAGAGGTATTCCGTCCTTTGGATCGTTTTTGTGGCCCTCTTCTGGATGCACTCCAACAGGTCCATGTCTCTCCTGCACGGAGGATTCCCCATCTGGATGCTGTACTCCAGCTGAGGCCTCACCAGCACAGAGCAGAGGGGCAGGATCACCTCCCTCACCTTGCTGGCCACGCTTCTTTTGATGCATCCCAGGATACAGTCGGCTTTCTGGGCTGTGAGGAAACATTGCTGGCTCGTATCCAGCTTCCCATCCACCATTATCTCCAGGTTCAGCAGAGCTGTGCTTAATCCTTTCATTCCCCAGCTTGTACTGATAGTGAGGGTTGCCTTGACCCAGGTGCAAGATCTCAAGTTTGGATTTGTTGAACTACATGAGGTTCATCTGGGCCCAGTGCTCAAGCTTGTCCAGGTTTCTCTGAATGGCATCTCATTCCTCTGGCATGTTGACTGCTCCCCACAGCTTCGTGTCATCAGCAAACTTGCTGAGGGTACACTTGACCCCACTGTCAATGTCACTGATGAAGATATTGAAGAATATCAGTCCCAGCACTGACCTCTGTGGGACACCACTCATCACTGATCTCCATCCAGACACTGAACATTGAAATGGGGAGAGTGTTCTCATGCAAAATTCTCATTAATGGAACAAACTGAGTAAAGCAGCCATTATTCTGCAAGTTGAATGTAGTACTTTTGGGAGGCAGGAGGTTCTGGTTTGACAGTAGCCCCATGAGCAGAAGCAGACTTTATTTCTTCCAGCTTCTGATGGCTACCATAGCTCTCTTCAAGCGTATTAGCAAGAAACCTTTGCTAGTCACCACAGAGCTAGTCTTAATGGAGTTAAGAAAGCAACTCCTCTAGTTTTAAAAAAGATATCTGCCATTTGTCACACAGGATTCCTTCATTCAGAATTCACCACAAGCCTGCAGAAGAATCCCACCCCAGATACAGCACTGCTTATGTCTCACTAACTGCTCAGGTAGAATAGCTGACCTGCATTCATTGTGTGTCTGGATGGTTCAGAGGTGAATCCCATAATTATTTGCTCAGAATGCTCTGCAGTTTCACACCTTCGCGTAACTGGAACTTCAGGCCTTGTTCACTGTCACCTTCTTACTGTTTTTTCTCCATCAGCGGGGAGCACTCAGCCATCTCATCCTACTCTCTGCTTTTGGCCAGTGGGATCTACTTTACATTACAACAGTGTTGTGAAACAGCCAGAAGGCACAAACAGAACTCTGAGAAGAGTAAAAAAAATGGCAATGTCAAAAAAAATGCTTACCAGAAAAATTTGCATTTATTTTCAAGATTTTGAATTATTGAAACCATTCATTGTGTAGGAGTATTTCTTCCTTCTCTGAGGCCTGAGCTGAGGATGTGTATGTTAGGGTCAGGAGTCAGCTGAAAGGTTATAGACCATCTGTTGTCTGTGGTAAAGGGTAGGCTCCAATGAAACAAGTCATCGTGCCTCACTGTGAGAGGAGATTTTGGAGGAGCTGATCTCTTGACACTGGTATCAGTAGATCACATTTTAGCTGAGGCAGAACTGGAAATTTTAGGTGAGTAAAGATAGGGGAAATAGCTTCAGAAACTGCTGTCTCTTCTCTAGCCAGCAGTGGGTAGCACATTTCTGATCTCCATGCTTTGGTGTTTTGCATGGACCTGATGTTGAGCTCATTGTACAGTCTATGGGGGCAATACAATGTGCCCAGGCAAGGTAATATACTCTGAATACATTTGACCCATTCTTCTTACGATCCTTTTTCTGTTTCATTCTCACACCACACCTGCAATATAGGGAAGTATTCCTTTTAGGAAGAAAGGAGAGAAGTGGCTGACCAAGGATGCAGAAACAAATCCTGACAGCCAATCATGTGCAGGTAAAAAAGCATTCCTTTCTCCATGTGAGAGTATATAGTTTAAAACTATGTCAGCCTAATAATATCAGATGTTCTATGAGGTGGAGTGAAAGCATGTCATTTTGATACTGACAATTGTCCCTTTTAAATGTTTTTTATGCTGGGCCCCTGGCCAAAACTGAATAGCAATTTTCTTAAGCTTCAGTGCTAATCAACACTGACTAATAGCACCAAATGCAGGGCACGTTATCATATCAATATGTTTTCTGTACTCCGAGCATTCTTTCTGAAATCTGCATTTTCGAGATGTACAGTACACGGGAGCTGGATGTTTAATTTACTGTAAAATCACCCTGAAGCTGAAAACCTGCAAATTGTCTTAGTTCAACAGCGTACTTATGCGTTTACTAGCGATACTGAAGGAGGCTGGAGGGGAGTTAGTTGTCTGTTACTCTTTGAAAAATTAAAACAAAGCCTTCCCATTTGCTTTGGAGGGGTAGAGAGAAGAGAAGCTCCTTCGCATCCTGACAGCTTCTACTTGTAAGGCAGGGAGAAAAATCTCTTCTTAATTTTATGTCTCCGTGAATTTCTTTGATTTGGTTCTTCATCCTTGCACCCAAGCAGGACCGTCAGCTCCTTACTTTGTGACCACATTGCTGACATTTGTCCAGCTCTGCTAGAATATACTTTTAAGAGAACGCTGGGATCCAGTCAGTCTTTGAGTAGACCTGCATTGGACTTCAAGTCTAAAATCAAATCATATTTTAACTTTGTGGGTACTAAAAGACACACAGGCAGAAATTAAGAGACCCAAAAGGCAGAACAGAAGGCAGTGCTTATGCTTAGACTTCCCCAGACCTGACCTCAGTTGGTGGTATGAGACATCATTACAATTCAATTCAGACAAGGCTGTCCAGGCTGTCCGGGGACCTTCCTTAAAGAGATTAGTCAAGTGCATATAGGAATTTTAAGCAGGCAATTTATAAGCATCTTCTCACTAGCAAAGTACCAAGACTCTCCCTATGGCTGCAAGCAAACCAATTCAGTTCCACCATCCTCAACATAATTATCTGCACTATCAATAGTAATTATGTATTATGAATCAAGTGTAAAGTTTCACTGAAAGACATACATATATCCGGATCCCAGCCTGCATTACTTCTTTGCAGACCCATGATTCAGCTGCTGGTCTGTGTGTACTTGGTTCATCTGTGCATTCATCATTTGTTAGCCCTTCCTGAAAGGTTAACCTGACAGTGGAACCCCAAAGTAAAGTCTGAATGAAAATGTTGAGACTTGAGGAATCTGCTGAGAAAAAACTTCTCCTGGGTACTAAATTCACACCAACTTTCTTGCAAGTTTCTTGAGTGAGAGGGACTGGTCTTCTGGATTCTGAAAAATGCATGATCTCAATGCTTGCTTGTATAAAAGCTACAAGTGCTTTTTTAAATTCAGCAATTCTAAGGAAAAATTACTTCAAATACCTCTCCTGTGATCAATAAACATGAAACTCTTCTTTTTATTGTTATTAAATGCACTTAAAGTGTTGAAGTATAACACGAATAAAATCCTATGAAAATAGATGCAGTTTCTTCTTCCTCAGCTGCAATTTCTTCCATTTGACAAACTCATATTAATACAAGGAGAATGGGTTGGGGAACAAGGGAAGATTTTTTTTTTTGGTAGGCCCAGAAATGAAAATACTTCGTTACAAAAATAATTTGCACAATAATGGAAATAAGTAAGTGCACTGCAGACTCTCTGGAGTAAAGCTTTCCTTCTTTCTTTGCATCCCTGCAAACTCTGACAGTCTGTTCATTAACGGTGAATTGGATTTACATGCCATTTCAAGAGAAGAAGAAAGCAATGGTGTATATGCTGTATAATAAGCACTTAGATTTGGGGTTTAATACAGATGGGATGGTGTGTTAACATTTTAAGTCTTTCCAGGGTGCATTAAATTTTGATGACCTATTTCATTTTTGACGACAGTCTGCAGCTTTAGACCTGTAAATTTACGTTTGATTAACAGGACCAGCGAGTCCTGCCACTGCAGTTTAGCTTATGCTGGTTTGGGTGACAGTACAGACAGAAAATATTCTACCCATAATTCAGGTAAAGCACCTTTTTCATGTGTTTTTTTTTTTTCTTGCAAACTCAGCATCATTACAGATCAAGGAGTTTGCTTCTTGGAAAGCACTGTGCAGTCCCCTTGATGAGGTGCTGTCCTAGAATATGCCTTGTCCCCTTGGAGGGGAGAGAACTGTTTCACTCTGAAGAAAGAAGGAAAATTTAATGCATTCCTTTTCCAGAGCAGTGGTTACACACCTGCCTTTCGAGTGCCACGCATTAAGTTGGATGAAATTGAAAGCAAAGATAGGAGCCTCTCTCTCAAAACATTTCTCAGGAATATTTTTCATTAGCTTGTATCATTACGTGCACAATCCCCTCTTTACCCTCACCCCTGTCGTGATTTCTTTCATACATGAGGGAGGTGAGGGAATTTATCTGAATTAAAATCTATGCAAAGATATTTTTACTCTTTCTAACAGAGGATGCTTTTCTCTTAGAAGCAGTGGTGAGGAGACATATGCAGAAAGACTAAGGCAGCCAATTAATCTGTAATATAAACAGCAACCACCACTAAAAAAAGGCAGAGAGATAAAGAAAAATGAGATATTTTGGGTGAGGATGGCAGGGGGGGAAGGGAGGTTGTAAGTATAAAGTGTTTGCCTTAGGACTTGTCTTCAGTTACAGAGCCAGACTCACATGACTGGAGCTCGGTTTGATGTGGTAATGAAGCATTGATCACAGGAAAAAGATGAAATGGCCTTTGCTCATTCATTATTTTTATCTTCTAGCTGTGGAAGACAGAAAATTGTTCATAGGAATGGTTTCGAAGAAGTGTAATGAGAATGATATCAGGGTGATGTTTTCTCCGTTCGGCCAGATAGAAGAATGCAGAATCCTTCGGGGACCTGATGGGCTGAGCAGAGGTGAGTGTGCAGTCTGTAAAGTCTCTTTCCTTAAGTGCTAATTGGAAGCTCTGTGTCACAGTCAGGGTAGGCACAGCTGCTGTCTGCAGCTAGAGGTTACGCCATAATACGTCCCACGTGATGAAGGTATCCGCATGAACTTTTCACAGCAACTGAAATTATCACCTTTTATTTCCAGTGTCAGAAAGGTCTTGGTGCCAACATATTAACTTGTGTTATCGCACTGTTTGTCAGCTGGAAAGGTTCCTTTGCACCCTGAGAAAGCACCCTCCGTTTTCTGCTCTCACAGAATCAAAGATCCTTCCCTGACCCCATTTCTTCTTTGTACCATAAGGCCACAAAAAAAAAAAGGACTGTAAATGACTGGTTGAAGACTTATAGGGTCATGGGAACTGGCCTACACTGTAGCACTATCTCCTCAATTCCTGTGTTTTTTATAACACGATGCAAAACATAGGTCTGTTGAAACTCAGAAACAAAGAGGTGAGCTTGAACCTGAGAGCTTTATCTAGACAGAAGTTTGTTAAAATAACTTGTAATGCTTGTGCCCCTGTCACAAAGCAAAAAACAGGGGAATGGTGTTACACAGCACCACCGAGAGTGGTCAGGCAGCTGACCTGAACCTTGGAAATGGAGTGCACAGGCTTTGATAGGTGGTGCCCACTTCTGAGTGCAGAAATGCCTTTTGGAAAGGCTCTCTGAAAACATATCAAAAAGAAAAATAAATGTATATTGATGTTGCAGAATGCGTATTAAATCTATGGTATGTGGACCTGAAATTATTCTCAGGCTGTAAACCTTTCCTCAAACTCAGCACTGTGTGGTACAGAGTGGAACAGGGCATAGACTCATCTTCAGTGGGAAAAGCAGCTGAGGCATGAGCTGCTGTCATGTGATGGCACAGGGAGTCAAGTAATTTCAAGTGCGGAGCTGTGAGGAACATCACCACTTCTGTTTCTATAGAAGTAAATAAAAGAAACATAGAAAGCACAGTTTATGCATTTTATTACATTTTCAAAAGTCACAGAAAAAAATAATTGGATCAATCTTGCATGGAAATGTAGATATATATGTGCGGGTTTTTTTTCCTTCTGGATTTGCTTGTTTCCTGCAGGCTCTAGAATCCTCAGTACCTCATGCAACAATTTGTGCCTAGATTTGAAAAGCAGAGGGTTTTGTGTGCAGCCCAGCTCGTTTAAAAAGTCTATACATTTCAGCAGGGGAAGCTGCGTGGATTACTGTATATTTCACAGCACTGCGTGAAAACATTTCTGAAGGGCCTGTTGAAAAGATATTCTGACAATAAATAGGTAGCCTCAAGAAAATTCCATATTTGCATTTGTACTCGATTAGACTGCAACCCCAAAATTTTTGGGGCTGCCATACAGCAGTCCTTTCAGGCAAGAGTAGCATCAGGATCATGGCTTTTGCCTTGGGGAAGACCAGAATAAAGGTCTGAGGTTGGTTCCTGTGGCTCAGTAGTAAATGTTAACTGATAGTCAAGCACTGCAATTATCTACTAGACCACTAGACCCCACACTGAGGGAAAACAAATAGTTCTGATTTTTAGTTATTTCACTTTGTAACTAGCACAGAGAAAGGATGATGGAAGGCACTACTGGGAAAGGTGCTAAGTGCTAAAATATCAAGATCTGGGCATGAGATGTCTTGAGTCACAAAAGAATTAATTGACTCTTTGGAATCACCCACTAAAGAAATGGGATCTGCTGAAAGTCCACTGCATTTTTTATTTTTATTCAATAGGCATTGGATATACTACGAGCATAGAAAAGATAATTATGAAATTGAACAGTGTAAGGGTGATGGTGTAGTTTTATTCTACCATGAACAGCACTATCACAAGAATCAGAAGCTGAGATTTTAAGCCATGTCACCAGTGTACCAGGCAGAGCAGTGTTGTCTGCCAGCCAGCATAGCCGTAGAGTTAATATGCTGCTCCCTCCTGCTGGAGGGTGAAGATCTTAGTGCAGGTAGGTCACACACCAGTAGTCTCAGCAGAGCTGTATCCTCCCTGCCACTCGGATTTATTTCGGTCACCATCACGATTGATATTCTGTCATGCCCTCATGCATCATGGCTTGTTAAACTCGAATTGCTTTCTACACACCCATGTTCACACTTGAAAATGAGTTCAGCTGTGCCAACCAGGTTTTCAGGCAGATGTTTATCAGCTTCACAAAACCACCATGCCATGAGAGAAGGCAAAGTGTTGGTATTGCAAAGCTGAAATGAAAAGTGCTAAGGGAGATCTGCAGTGAAGGGAGGTTGGCTGAAAAAGCACAGGGTGAAAAGCTGCTTCACTAAAGCAAGAAGGAGAATTATACAGTTAAATCTTTGTAATGAGTTCTGATACTTAATGAGTTTTAATTCATGTTACCATTTTAAAGATGTTAGTTCCCTCTGCCACAAACAATGTTTGTTCTCCCAGCTCCAGTCCGGATGTGTTTCCCTCCCAGACACAGGGGGGTGAATGAGAAATAGTCACTGTCTTAGGAAAACACTGTCCTTATGATGCCAGAGCCTTCGGGAACGCACAGTGCTCACAGCAGCGAGATGGAAATATGGTCCAATAAACTCTGTTTGGCATCTCTTTTCAGTTGCATAACGAATGTACATCATGGTATCTTGGAAGAAAACAGCTTGAGGAGTATACTCATTGGTATCTATGCCAACTTGCGAGCTTTGTTGAAGGATTCAGGCAAATAATCTTGATTACCAGCAGATAGTTGCAAGGAATGGCATGAGGTTACAATGTTCAATAGAACAATTTTGGTTTGTGCTGCAAATTTTTGTTGTTGTTGTCTTTTTTTTCACCATAAAGAGTAAAGAACATTCAGATGACTTTTTGGTCATGCCTGTGCTACAACAGCAATCATACCACTAGCATGATAGAAGTGTGCAGTAAACTCATAGGTGGGATGTAGGATCTTAGAGAACCACATGGTTCCAGTAGCAAGAAGAAATCCCTTCCTGCAGCAGCAAGGGGAAATGTAACACTCATGATGAGTGTTAAATAAGTAATAAGATAAAGTGAGGGATCAAACTGGTTATTCCTGTTGTAGTTTATAGCCATGAGCTGATAATAAAGTCACACCCATTGCTGTCCCTACTGATAATGGACCATCAGCATTTCATCCCCAAATTCCTATTGTCAAGTATTTGAAACTCATCTGTGAAATGAGAGTAAAATAATGGTACAGAGCTCCAGTGGTGGAGCAGTGTTTTTTAAAGAAACAGATTTTTTCCCTATGTCTTTTTTTTTTTTTTTTTTTTCCCAATGTTTGGGGGTTTTTTTGCCCCTCCATCTAAGAAATAATCATTTGTAACTTCTTATATTCTGACCAGCTACAAGAAATAGGCAGCAACCAAGAGGCATTTCCTTCCAAAAACTGTAAGATAGTCCCTGTGGAATTAGTTGGCTAGCAAGGAGTAATAGCTGAGAAAAGTATTAAAAATAAAAATAAAAATAAAATTAAAGCCCCGTTGGCTGTAGCGATAAAGAAGCTGGGGACTGAACAGCCATGCAGGCTGGCCTTTGCTTTAGCAGGGTTCACGGGTCTATGTAAAGAAGCTTGCAGCTGCCTGTGCTATATTCATTATTCAAAGAGAAGGATTCAGCCTGCAGGGTTGTTTAATCCAGCACTTTTTCTGAAGAGCTAAGTATGCTTTACAAAAATTCATGATTGTGATATCATGTGCTAAGCTTCATTATCATGAAAAAGCAGGAGTGAACTGCCTCAGATGATTAAGATTTTAAATCACTTATTGTAAAAGGCTTAAGGAAACTTTCAGACCTCCTGACTTTGAGCACATGGCTACATGACCACAGATGCCAACACAGACAGCATTCAGTGATAGCTGGACTGTGCAAAAGTAGCCAGAAATTCCTCAGGTTGATTTGTAGCTGTGCTACTGATGTGTAATATGACCATAGGTTGATTTCTCATCATCTATTTTTCTGTTCCTTAAAATAAGTATAGCAGTGCTCCTCAAGCTTTATAATTTCATGTATATATATATATATATTAGATGAGTGGATCGATATCTCTATATCACTCTAGGAATTATTATTACCATCCATAATGATGATAAAAAATACATGTATATTCCTCTGATCCTCATCACAGGAGCACTGCACAGCAAATTATTCGGTTGTATTGCTAAGTGCAGATTTGTATAACAGATAGCAGAAACAAGTCAACTGGGTTAATAGTGTGCTCTGGGGAAAACCTGCTAATAACGTGTGCAGACAATTGGATATACCATGAACACTGTGGAAATGCCCCCAAATATACATTCCTATACCTCCCAGTTTCCCAATTGTATGATTTTTTAACAAAATCTCACCAGGTACACGGAACAAGTAAATGTTTCTGGACACACTGATTGCAGGGAATTGTTTTTCTTTGTTTGCTTTGAGAGCAGGATGACATGGAGAATTATACCATGGTCAGGCAATTTATTGTCACAAAAATCCATTTATAACTTTCAGATTTAGGGATTTACTTAATGAATGAATAAAAGAAAATTAGTGTTTGCATCATAACTAGCTGCACTGAAGGACAGATGAGGAAGTTTCACGCCTGTTTGTTTTTCCTTATGGGTATTTACTACTGCTTTGTGAGCTGAAGTAATGTGAAGTGCCACTATGGGTGCAGCCTGGGTTAGGGAGCACCTTTTGACTTCTGTATCAGTAAGTAATGGGAAAAGAACACTGTGGAAGTGCTGCATTTTTTACTTCTCTGTATTTTACTTCCTCAGTAAGTAAGGCACCTCCATGCCTTATTTATTTTGCTGTAATGTGGTAACATGTTTCTTTTTCCACTCATTATGTCACATTTAATTTTCTTCCTCCAGTGAAACTTTTCCAAAGCTGGGAAGGAGCAAACGCATCCTGTTGACCAGTGTCTGTTGGCCTGTGGCCAGTAGTCCTCAGTCTCAGATTTCCATTCTTGAATCTTCTCAGCAATCCTTCCCCA